CATTGCGGAAGCTCGGATTTCTAATTGCCAACTGCAGTCTTTAATGTGATGCTATGTTCCCTCATGTTTCTGTTTACTCGGTGTCATGTCGCGACAGCCGTTGTTTTCAAACGTGAACCCAAAAACAATTGGATTGCTGTGCACCAAGGATGCTGTGAAAGCGGAGTTGGTGCGCACCAAGGGGGAGGTTTCAAAGGGACAAGAGTTGGCTGTGCCTTGTCTCAAAGGATTTCAACATTAAAATCAATCATAAGTAATTCCATGGAAAGATGTCAAAACCTTTCATGCCCACTTCACAACAAATCACGTGGTGTTGAATGATTGACAGTGTAGTGTTGTTTTCAGTCTTGGGGTTTCATAGCAATCAGTCTGGGTAAAAATGCAAAAAATGTTGACTGCTTCCATTTTTTTGTTTCTGTGCCAGGATGCCATGATCAAATCCTACCTCGAAGCCCCAGCTGGTGCTGAAGACGAGGACGTGGCTGATATCGATGCTGGTATGGAAGCGGGCGAGGAAGAGGATGGCGAACACGACGAGACAGTGGACTAAAATCATGAAGGCCTCTTCAAAGGAAAACTTCTTCTAATTTAGTATCAACATCTATCAAAGTCTTATCAAAGTATGTTCACTTATGATGTCATCTCTTTTCTTGAGTTCTGTCAAATGACAACCATCCAAAACTCACTGCTTATTTGAGATTTGATTGCACAATGTTTGGTATTTGCATTGGGTCCCGCATCTAAATATCAGTAGGGTCACCTGCCTTTCACCTGCTGGGCCTTTCCTCGAACCCGGCAATTTTGAGAGCTGCACTTTGCTGGGCTGGAGCTTGTTTGTGGCGTTCAATTTTTTTATAGATTGTCAAAACATATACTTCCAAACCCATGAGCCAAACTTCCTTATTTGATTTTTTTTGAATGCCGCTGCATATGAAAGCGGAAGTGCGGAAGTTAGCAAGCGCGTGATGTTGAAACCTGTGTTGAATATCTTGGGTAGACCAAGGGTCCCAATCGAATACCATAGGTTACAAATTCCATCGGTTATTTTTGGATGAAATTATTGATACATTTTTGACAAACATGGCCAATGTATATTATATCAAGTTCCATTGGTCCCCAATAATTCTATGCGGGTTCGCTTGATATCGCTTGACTACAGCTTGGATTCACCACAGGATGGTAAACATGATCATTAATAGGTGGCATGTTTCACAATGATTGGTAGGGTCAACCTCCCTTATCTCTTTCAATATGTTTCAATCAAACACCCAAACATGATTAAGGGGAACATGCAGTAGTGCGGGGTATTGGCAACATATCCTCCCACAAAAATGGTAGTCCTGTGGTTTGTATGCGGGGTCTTATGATTTTTATTAATGGCCCATCGGGAAAACCACATGTCATTGGTCCTATGTTTCTGTGGGTACATGGTTAAATGCATCAAGATTATGGTCAAAGAGTTTTACCGTCTATTTTCGGAGATCGGTGGATCCGATATACATGATAAGTATACCTTTTTACCACAAGTGGTTTTTGCTGAAAATGATTCAAAAAAACATCACCATGATGTTGCGAGAAGCTGATAGGATGATAGAAGCTGCTTAGTTCGGCAAGTTCGGACGACCAACCGTGGAAAAAAAAGAGTGGTGAGATGATGGAACCATGTCCTCCCTTTCCCCTGCCGTGTGTATATGCTATTATATTATGTGAAGGGTGGTTGATATTGAAAGTTGCGTATACCAATTGTTGGTAAGGTTTTGGCTTAGGGATGTTTATAGGCAAATGCCTCCAGACAATATTTGTGTCAAAAAAACATCATAGCTAGCGTTGGCCCAATGATGTTGTTAACATCCCTGCTATCCTGCCAGCATTGGCCCAATGATGTTGCTAGCAAAGTGCGTGCTGTTGCTAAGAAAACTTGCTAGCCTAGCCTGCTAGCATTGGCCCAATGATGTTGCTAGAAAACTGCGTTGCCCAAATGGTTTGGGAAGTGCAATCAATGCCCATAGCAGCCAAAATTTCAAAACCCTAGTTGTCACCCAATGCCCGGAACAAAGGGAACAGAGAATTGTACCGGTTGTGATGTTTCTATGATATGAATCAGATGGTCCTGGAGGACGGTCTTTCCAGAACATGTGACACCCTTCAGCGCCGTCAGCATCCACAGCTCAAACTTACATCTTGTTCACATCTTGCTGTGGCGAGCAGCTTCTTGGCTTCGCGGCTACCATGGCGAAAGCAGAGCCCGTCACCGTGGGTTACATGGCCTTGACCGAGGCTGAGTTCAACGAGGCCAGGTGGTGTGATGAGTTCGATGACCCACATCTGAGGCAGTGGCTCTTGAGCCATACCCCTATCAAAGCCATTGCTGCAACTCGTAAGCACCACGTTCGGCAGCTGGGCGTGACGTTGTCACATGGCACCCCTCCAGGCCCAAAAGCACTCCTCAAGCGCCATGAAAGCGGCTCCCAAGTATTCACTGTGATGTGCGAGCCGAACTACATGCTGCTATGGGTGCGAACCACCACGAATATTGCAGCTTTAGTGGCAGAAGGCAAGTTGACGGTCACCAAGGATGGTGGCTTTGTCTTGCAGCGCTCTTTCGACCCCTTCCACATGGACTTCGAAGAGGGTTGGACTGCGGATTTGCTGACCGATTAAATTCGCAAGGGCGGGAGGCAAGCACCATTAATTAAGCATTATCTGACATTAATATGGCAATGGGATCCACCCCATTTTGCACGAACATTTACTTATTACTTGGATATATCTATCTATCTATCTACCTACCTACCTATCTATCTATCTGTCTGTCTATCTATCTATCTATCTATCTGTCTATTGATCTATCTATCTGTCTATCTATCTATCTGTCTATCTGTCTATTAATCGATCTATCTATTTATCTATCTATCTATCTATCCATCCATCTATCTATCCATCTATCTATCCATCTATCTATCCATCTATCTATCCATCTCTCCATCCATCTATCCATCTACTCATCTATCCATCTATCCACCTATCCATCTATCCACCTATCCATCTATCCATCTATCCACCTATCCATCTATCTATCTTTCTATCTATCTATCTGTCTGCCTGTCTATCTATCTGTCTATCTTTCTATCGATCTATCTATCTATCTATCCATCTATCTATCTATCTATCTATCTTTTTCTTATTATTATATGTAATATATATATAATATAAATATATATAATATATATATATATATCTATATATATAATATAAATATAAATATATATATATATAGATATATATATATATATGCAGTATATAGACAACTGTAGACTCATGCATGTTCCCCAACCTGAAAGGCCTTTGATTTAATGCGTTTTTTTAAAAAATCCTCTGTCTCCTTTTTTCCCTGTTTTCTTGAGGCCTATGACATTTCTTCCATACAAGCTGGCAGATTCTTCCAAGTGCTTTCTCTTCGCCTCGGATCAGCCCAAGGGAAGCCCGAGTGGCTTTGTGTACTACCTGAGCATCCCTGACGTCATCCAGACAATGATGGATTGCGGCGTGAGCATGGACAAGGAGATGGTGCTTCGCAATTTGCTGGACAGCGAAGTGACTGCTGACTTGGCACTCCTTCTCAAGAAGAACCATTGGTCAGCTGATGTGACGGCGCCGTTGACCGCTGTGATCGTGAAAGATCGCGCGGCTGTTCCAATGTTTGCTTCTTCGGTTGTCGCTCAGACCTTGGCCTTCTTCGCCTTCAGCCAGCATGCCATCCAACAGCAAGAAAATAAAAGTGTCCCCTTGCTTTTGCTGATGCTCAGGACAGATTCATTGCTTGGTGGAGCAGCTCCTTTCACGAACCCTTTGGGCAGCTTCTGGCTAGCTGATGTGTCAACCTTGTTTTCCCTCCTCAAGGATGGCAAGGCAGCTTTGGAAGTAGAGCCGTTTCACATGAGCGTCAACAATACCCAATCGAAGAGGCTCTCACATTCAGATGCTCGTGCTGAAACGAAAGCTTTTGGCATGCAGAAGCGCAAAGCAATGCTGGAGGAATGTGTCTCCTTTTTGACACTGGACTTGGAGAGGAAGAAGACCCAGTTGAAGAAGATCGAGCAGAAGATGGAGGAGCGAGCAGCTGCAGAGGCTGACGAGACAACTTCAGGACCACCTCCTGCTGAGAGCTGAGCGGCTCCTGCGGCTTCCGCGGCATTTTGGGATCAACCCAGCGCAATGATGGCTCTGGAAGTTTTGAAATTTGCGTTTAGGTGAGCTAATAAGCTTGAATTTGCTTGGATCAAAGAAGCAATTCCGCAGCCTTTCTGATGCAAGCCTTTTTTTCCCAATGAATAGCGTCTTAGATTTGCAGCTTCCTGCGCTGCTTCGGCCTCATAGATTTTCTACATAGTTCACTGGCTCAAGCGGCTCAAGCGGCTCGAGCGGCTCACTGATTTCTTCGGTGTGGGCGCAACGCTGCCGTGAGCAGATTAATAAGCGGTCATGGCTCCTGTGCCATCGGTCCCAGAAGATCCTCGTGTCCGGCCCTTGTTTCCTTAACGTCTCATTTCAACACTAGTGCCCGACATGTATGTGCTTGAGGCCAGTGCGATGCAGATGATGGGTCAAGTCATCCCATGGGTCAGGGCCTCATTGGGAGTCAAGATTTGGAAATTCATGGTGCCAGTCAGTGTCCGCAACTGTTTTTGGAGTACACTAGTCATTGTCACCCGATAAGGTCAAGAAGGAACTTCCTTCTAAATGCGCCGCTGCAAAAGCGATGCATAAAACACATCCGCTGACCATTTCAGCAGACGTGAAAGAGAAGGATTTGAGTGGATACAAGGCACAGTTCTTGCCTGCATTTGTCATGCGTTATTGAATATGGGGCTTCTGCTTTCTATAGCGCTAAGTTTGTGTGCAGGCACCCTGGGATGTAGAGACTTGCAAGACTTCGATCAAAGTGAACGGCCTCTACGAGGCAGCTGGCCTGGCCTTGTGGCTGCGGACAGGTGTGTTTCGAATTGCAAACACACCCGAATGGGAGACAGCCTCAGGCGATGTGTCCGTGGAGACTTTGAAGAAGTTTGCCACTTCTTTCTTCAGCAAGGATTCCGCGATGAAGGCTTCAGTGCAACGAGGACAGAAGAAGAGCAGAACAGGACGAGACCGCATTGTCTGGCCCATTGAGATGATCGTTGTCAGTGAAAGTGGCACAGACTTGGAGAAGGATGGTGGCTTCGATTCTTCTTTGAGTCTGGTGGGGTGTCATTTCGTTCTGTGGGCCTGGTACTATGCGATGTTTCAAGCTTTGCAGACAGGGGCTCCTAGCCTAAAATTTCGTGTTACACAACAATTATTCTCTTCGTGTTTCCTAGAGACGACAAATTACGTCGCCTTACTTGCTGTAACTTTTTCGCATGTGCATTTCAAGTCACAATAAATTTCCAACATTGAGCAAAAGCGTGCAAATGAATTATATGCTATCATGATTCCACCTCTCAGAGCATGCCTTGATTTTTGTAAATTTCTAGACATATTTAGTTGGCATGCCCGCTCTGAGGACAAGGAATGGGTCGAGCTTCTGTGGGAATGCGGCTGCACAGTGACGATACAAGCTCGGCTTTGTACCTCCGAAAAAGATGTGCCAGTTGCCAGGATCCAGGCCTCCGAAAAGCTCAAGGCAATCGGGGATGCATCCTTGTCAGACACCTTTCTGACCTTTGCTTTGCTGTGCCGAAAACTTGGCGTTGAGAGTGTTTCGCAAGGATCGGCATTGAAACTCAAGTTCAATGGGTCCAGCTACAACCCCTCCGTGCACAAAGCCGCTGTGCAAGTCATTGGTGTGATGGGTCCGACTGGGGCAGGTATCTTCTTTGAAGCAATTCAACGCTTGGAGCTGGCTTGGGGCCGAGAATTGCTCAGCAATGCCTACAGCAAGTTGGTGAAATTGATTTCCATTGTCAAGGGCGTTTCGCACGTCCATCGCAATACCCAGGAGATAGCTGCCTGGCTTGTGGACATGCTTCACCTTGCTCTTCTCTGCAAGAGCACCACAGTGGCCAAAGCTACGGACACGTTTCTGGACAAGGACAGGAAGCATGGAAGTCACGGCTTTTGGCCGGCTTGCTTAGTGTTGTTGCAGGCTGGGTCTGCGTTCTTTTTAAGTTTTGGGATGGTCGGTGTTGTCCATGCGCCTTTTCGTTCTGCAGCCGCGCAAAGCCAACTATTAGTACTTTATTAAATTGATTTTTCTGCTCAATACTGCCTGAGCAGGTCTTTGATTTGGCGCACTCCTTGGTGAAGACTTTTTGCCGGAAACAGAAGCCCAGTCATGTGCGGCCTTGATTGAGGATAGCATCTTCAATCCCATGAAGTGCTGGGAGACCTTCCTCAAACCCAGCTCTGAAGATGCTGCCAGGGATGCTGAGGATGAAGCCCATGCAGCTGATGATGATGCAGGGGGCGCTCTTACAAATCAATCTGCCCTTGTGCCCGTGAAGGAGAAGTACAACCGTGCCACAGGATGCCTGCTTGACCTCCTTGTGGAATTGATGAGTGGGCAGCATGGAGAGGACCTGCGTGAAATCAGCCAATGCGGAGAGCCTCTTTCAAAGATGCTGCAGCCTGGGGGCAAAGAATCTGCAGAAGAAGCATCGCAGGGCTCCTCCATATCCTTGGTGGTTAAGCTTTGTGAGGCAGTCAAAGCTTTTGATACCAACACCAAAAGTGTTTCTGTGACAGCCACAGCGCCTGCCCCATCCTTGATCAACACTTTGAACCAGGGTCAGTCAGTCGAAGAATTGACAGCAGAACGTGAGCGGGTATGGAAGCTTGTCCAGAACGAGCGCCGCAAGTACGCAACTTTCAGTGTGCCCAAGACATGGAAACCAGAAGGCTTGCTGAGCAGCTTCCGATCATGTGGCAAAGTTTTTGGGCATGCTGGGACCCTCAACTCCAGATTTGCGGCTCAGCGGATCTGCTCTGCGAGTCAGGAGCCGAACCATGGTTGGCACAGTCCAAACCTGAAGCGGCTCTGTGGAAAGGATTGCAGAATTCTGCGTTAGCACCACGGGCCAAACTGACTTTGCAATGGTCTTTGATGGCAGAATGAGAGAAGTTCGCCGTCTCAATGATACTTGGTTCATTTTGATGTGCAGTCTTGTTAGTTCACTGCACTTAGTGTAGTTATTTGTTGCTTTGCAAGATCACATGGAACTGACGAAATATATCTTTTGCATGCTGGCACGAATGTTTCTGCGCTTGTGCTGTTATATTGTGTCGACTCTGCAGCAGCGCATTGGTTGGCCTCGATGGTGGTATATCTGCCTGGAGAAACACGAAGAAAAACACGATGATGACGATTACAATAGTGATGCTCAAAAAGACAATGCTAATTATTTTGTTTGGCAAAGACGGTGATTCTGATGATGATGATGATGATGACGATGATGATGATGATGATTATGACCATGATCATGATCATGATCATGTTGTTGTTGTTGTTGTTGTTGGTCTTTTTGTTGTTGTTGTTGTTGTTGGTCTTTTTGTTGTTTTTGTTGTTGTTGTTTGTGTTGATGATGACAATGAAGAGCATGTTGCTGATGATACTGCTTCTTCTGGTAATGATGGTGATGATGGTGATGATGATGATGAAGATGATGATGATGATGGTGATGATGATGATGATGGTGATGATGATGATGATGATGTGGATGATACTTATATTGCATACATGATGGGTGATGCCAATGGGATTTGATTGCTGACGACTTTGCTGACGACAACCGTAGTTCTGGTTTTAACTGAATTCTTCTCAGGGTGAGGCCCATCTTGGGGGGAATGTGGTGTTAACATGTTTGACTCCTGTCTGCGTAAACCCACCCACGCACTTCCGGATTCAAGACACAACCAAAGAATCTGCAGGAAGAGGCTGTGCTTGCTCAGCCGCAGTCGGAGGAAATGCACTTGGTCTACTCTGGTGGATGCATTGCCCGCGCTGGTCGAATGCGAAGAATTCCACTGGCTGCTCGCAAATTGAAACAGTGGCAGTCCGCTTCCCGACACAGAGGGGCCGAGTCAAAACATCCAAGCGTGAAAACTTCACGTCCTGTGGAGAAGCTACAACTTTTCAGGGCAGCTACAGTGGCGTCGAGTTTCGCTCCTCTTATGAGCTTCCCCTCATCACCCTGGATGAAAAAGCTCGGGTTCTCGGCTCTGCGGCTTCTTCGGCTCCGCCTGAAGATTGGCAAGACCGCTTCGGCGACAAAGCGGTGCCACTCTTTTGGCAAGAGTCCAAACCCATCAGCTTTTCAATGCAATCCTTGATGAGTACAAGGTGACCTCAATCTTTGATGTGACGGCAGGGTCAGGCGCAATGATGGAAGCCAGCTTGACCAGAGGCGCTGTCTATCACGGCCTCTGCCTGAACAAGGACCACCAGCAGTGGCTGCAAGCAATTGCAGACAGAGCCGCTTGCGGTTTGATTACCTTGGAAGGGTCGACTCTTTTCAACGAGGCCTTGGCAGCAGAGATCAAAAAGTTTTTCCCAGATGTTTTGGAAAGCTTGGCCCCGAAGACCGATCACGAAGAGGCTCCAGTCCCGGTGAGTGAGGACTGCTTTAATTTAGATATCATGGCTGCGCGGCTCTGCGGCCCTGGTTTTCACCATCACAGAAAACCAATTTTGCTTTGAGCAAGTTTGCAGAGGTCAGCTTCGGACAGTGCAATGGCGTTTTCCAAAAGAAATCAGCCAAGCCATTTCACATTTTCCAATTTGCTTGGGTTGGTCTAATCTGGTACAAGTGAAAACATCTCAGCGGCCTATCTGTTTTGACTGTATAGAAAGATTTCATTGATATTTGCTTTATTAGCCCAGGAAATCTAGCTTCGCACTGAGGCCCATTGTGCATTGAACCTTTTGCAGCGCTTTTGGATGTGAACGGAGCGTCTGGAGGCACTCTGGTGCACTAGTAAGCAAAGGGGAAGTAAAGACACCTTTTGGTGGCATGCTGCCACCCTTCCTCCTTGCCTGATGCCAGAAGTCAGTAACGAAGGATCAAGGAGAGACATTGAAGCATAGTTGGAGTTC